GGGGAGGGGTACGTGAATGTTTGCTTTCCGCCGATTTCTGATAACGACCTATCGTCGAATGCGTGTTAACTCCGATTTTCTTCCTTATTCTATACCGCAGACTCAATTCGTGATATACGTGTCAACACCACTTAATACCCACTGTATACTGCCTATCGGATTCATCTGATTGAGTAGGGGCTGGCCAGAATTCTCCTTCATGGAGGAGCAAAAGCTACCATTTTGGCAAATTACAATCGATTTGACTCGTGACCTTGAAAAACTAGCGTATTTGATTTTAAGTTTACTGAGGAGTATTTTAAAAAAGTTGAGTCTGGTCGTATTGCCCCAACACAGAAACCTTCGCCCCATTCATGAAGGGGAAAAATCTGGCTGACCCTGACTCAGCCAAATATGAATCCGATTGGCAGAGTGCTTTGGGTATTGCATTGGCTGGCTCTCGTCGACAGGTCTCTCGAGTCCTGTTACATCGATTTGCAATCAATCGTTGACCATTACTCTGATTTCCCGTAAGGCGATTTGTGCTAGAACTACTTTGATGTGGAGTGAGTGGGTTGCAGTCTTTACGCCATTGTGTGTAAGGCAGACACAAATCTCTTCAGAACGGGGAGCATGTTGAGAACTGAGAACATAATATATAATATTGGATGGTTAAGAAGACTAAGGACCTCACGAGGTCGATTAGTCGGTCACAATACGGGCCTGGGATTCAAAACTATCGTATCTTGAAAACTGTACTTTTCAGGAGAAACAAAAAACTAATTTTCTCTTCGCACAGATGAACTGGGGATGTGATTTTTCCATATTACAGGTGGAAAAAAAACCCTTTCGGATTTCGCAATGGTTGTTTTGAAACTGTATTTCTCTCAGTTTAGACGATACCTTCGTTTTGATATTATGGCATTGTTTTTTTTGGCTACATAACTATCGTAGGTCGAGTTACGACAGTTTAGAAACTTCCTTTATGAATTACATAGTATATCGTATCCCAAGTAACGATATATTCGCTGCAAAGGATGATATGCTATATTTAAATCTATTTACTCAGAAATACGATACCAGTATAACATACGTCTTTCTATGTCGATGCAAGTCCGTGGCAACAAACTTGGAGTAACTTTACTTTTGTATTAAAGAGAGATTTATGTTTTGGTTTATAGTAAATTATCGTAAGTCAAGAAACGATAATATTGTTATTACGATTTTGTCGCAATAAACGTCTGATACATTTTCACTAGGGCACACCCTTTTTTCTATTTATTGAACTTATGGCATGGTACACGGTTTTGACAAAGATGCGCATCAGGAAACGGTTTAACATATCTTTTAGTACAATAATATCGAAACTTGAGTTACAATAGTTTTGACACCGGGTCTGTAACTAGCTAGTCCTTTTTATGTGGAATAATAATAATAATAATAATAATAATAATAATAATAATAATAATAATAATAATAATAATAATAATAATAATAATAAATAGCATTTATACTCCGCATTTTCATTTTCTAAAAGATGCCCAATGCGCATTACAACGAAAAAGACATCACATCTAAAAAAAATAATCGACAAGTGTGTACGTAAAACAAAATATGATACATATAAATGCACATGTGTAAAATTTTATACGAGAAAAACAGTCTCGCAGTGAGGTTGAAAATGTGTTCACTAAAAATATACAATGCAATAAAAATTCACGAACGGTCACAATAAAGTTGAAACGTGAGTAACTAGAAACAATCATTAAAACATTAATTCTATACAGATAGAAAAACATTTCCGTGCTCTCTCTCTCTCTCTCTCTCTCTCTCTCTCTCTCTCTCTCTCTCTCTCTCTCTCTCTCTATCTCTCTCTCTCTCTCTCTATATATATATCTCTCTCTCTTTTCTCTCTCTATCTCTCTCTCTTTTTCTCTCTCTCTCATTCTCACTCGCTATTTCTTCAGTCTCACAGTCTGGCATACACATGCATATATATCACAGTACATCATTATGACAGGTATTCTTTTGCGAATAAAAAATGCTTCAGCTGATTTTTGAAAATGGAAATTGTTGGGGTAGATCTTATTTTATATGGGAGTTCGTTCCATACCAGGGGACCAAAGAACAAAAAGGAACGCTCGCCGTACGTTTTGTAATTTTGTTTTGAAGTTTTAAGAATTAATTATCAGAGGCTGATCTAAGGGCTCTAGGTGGATGATATAATTCCAGGAATGTTTTAAGATAAAAAGGTGCACTATCATTAAATTTATATATTTAAAACAGAGAACGGCAGTTTTGTATTTGATCCTTTCTTTTATTGGCAGCCAGTGTAGTTCTTTCAGAATTGGTGTTACGTGCGCTGATTTCTTTTGTTTCATTATCAATTTTGCTGCTTGATTTTGGAGTACTTGTAACTTTGAATACAAATGATACATGTACCTACAAATATTAGACTGATTTAAACTTTTCCCCTTACTTTCAGAAAAAGCTAGAATATTGGTTTAATTTCTGGAGCAGA